AAGGAATGAAAAAGCAAGGAGGTAAAAAGATGAGACGAGAATGAGGAAAGATGACTCGACAGAGAGAGAGAGTGACAGAGATGAGAGGAGAGAGAGTTAAAGGAGAGGTGGAGGAGGAGGAAGAAGCAGGAGGGAGGGACAAAAAGCTGGGCTGTTTGCCAGGGTCTATTCCACCTTTGCTCTCCGGGCCTTTCCGAGCTGCCACGTTCTCTCACCTCTGTAATGTCATCAATGAAAAGGCCTTTAGGAGGGATGGAGGACTTGACTCTGGGTTCAGAATGTGCCCGACACCAGCTGACGCTGCCAAGCCAAGCAGGATTCTGTTCAAATTAATTGGATGTCACTTTCAGGAGCAAGAACCAAGGCAGGGTTTTTTTTCCCCACAGGTTTTGTTACTGCGTGTAGAATCAGAACATTTTGCAGGACTCGTGGCAGAGCGAGGATGGTTTTCTCTTGGTAATCTTCTACATACTAGGGATTATTTTAACTGTGGAATTTTAATTATAAACTCAGAATAAATTGACAGGAATGTTGCCAAATATTACAAAATTATCATTAAATTTCCTTGTCTTTGGGCAAAAATCTATGTGATTTATATTTTTGCTGGTTTTACTCGACATTTAATGAATAACAACTATCCACACTTTGCTCCAACTTTGTGTTTTTTAAAGGACAACATCCACATTTTATAGAAGGCAAAGCAAATGACTGGGTAACAAAAACAATCGAGGCTCTTTGTGTTCATATGAAATTATATGTTTAGTTCATTTTTCAAGCATATTATTTAAAAAAAACAAACCAACACATTGTTACCAGGTTGTTCTTTATTTCTTTATTGCTGTAGAAACTTGTTATTCTGACATGTGAGATTTAGGCTTTTTATTTTACACCCTCTACAGGTCATTCACTACACAACAGGTGTTCCACCCGTTACAGGTATCAAATTTAGACTGTCAGTGTCAGGTTTACTAAACAGGACTAAATAGCTTGTTAGCGGCACTCCCAAATAACGCTCGTAGGTGCGATTATCTTTACGGGCGATTAATAAATTTACACAAATTATGTGTTTTTCAGTTGTTACACATTATTATGTCTTTTGCAAAAGTGGTGGAAGAGTAAACTAAAAACAGAATTTCACTGTCACCGCGTAACATCTAACAGGTTTTAATGGAGTCCCTCCTTTGTAAACTTTGATGGTTTTACAGCAACAGCTGTTAATATTGTTGTACAGTTAATATAGTTATAATTGTAGATATTCGTAACTATGTAACTATATGGTTATAGTTATTCATATTAACGATAAAGTGAAAGAAAAAGACTGAGTGTCCAAGTCCATCTGCTGTGCTGACATAAAAATACATTAGTGAGTATCAGCTGTTTCCTATTAACAACAGCACAAAAGGTTGGATTTTTTTAACAGGGAAACTAATTACTGTTATTCCACACATGCTGCAGGTCACTGAGTAGGGCTGTGCGTATTAAAGGTGCAGACTGTTAGTTTAAAAATGGATTAAAGCTACTTACAGTAAATGTGTCTGTTTAAGACCTTGAAAAATGATCTGAAGCGACTGATAAAATGAAGAAAGTGAAGAAATCTCCTCTATAGCTTCATGCTGTGATGTAGAGCAGCTGTCCTCAACCTTTTTTGCACCACGGACCGGTTTATGTCTGACAATATTTTCACGAACCGGCTTTTAAGGTGTCACAGATAAATACAACAAAATAAAACCAGTACCGGTACCAAAAAAGAAGAAGATTTATTCATAACACACGGGAAAAGACCCAGGGAAACCGAGTTAACAATAAAAACGATTAAAACAAAATAACGATAAAAACCCTGAAAACCATAAATTTCACCCCTGAGCCTCAACTCTCGCGGTTGGGGAGCGCTGTTGTGGAGAGATGAACTGAAGCTGGGTTACGGCAAAGCTGTTGTTCTGGTCAGTCTGTATTCCTGTTATTTATGGCCGCAGGCTCTGGATAGCGACCTCAAGAATAAGGCTACGTTCACACTGCAGGCGAAAGTGCATCAAATCCGACTTTTTTGACCCTATGCAACAATATATCCGATCATGGTATGACAGTGTGAACAGCACAAATCCGATTTTCAAATCCGACCTGGGTCACTTTCGTATGTGGTACTGAATCCAATACATATCTGATGTTTCAGAAAGCGACTGCTTTATATATATGTCGCATTAAATCCGTCTTTTACGTCACTGACACAAGGCAGTGACGTAAGACATCGTGAACGCTTCCTGGCCATCCCGTGTAGATGTTAGTGAAACTGTTGGGAAGACAACGTGAACATTTTATTTGTACTGTATAATCTGCAGATTCTGTAGTATGAACAAGCAGACAAAAAAATCGGATTTGATCAAAAAATCGGAATTGCAGCCTAAGATCCCAAACTAGAGCCACTACTCCTCCACATCAGGGGCCAGCTGAGGTGGTTCAAGTATCTGGGTAGGATGCCTCCTAGGTGAGGTGTTTCCAGCATGTCCTAATGGGAGGAGCACATGCAAACCCAGGACACACTGGAGGGATTACATCTCTCAGCTGACTTGGGAATGGCTTGGTGTCCCCTCATCAGCTGGGGTGGGTGGCTGGGGAGAAGAAGGGCTGCCCTGTAGATCAGACCCGGATAAGCAACAGAAAATGGTTGGATATCTATCAGAATGTGGATGCTACCCTTGCTATGTGTTTGTCCAACATGAAAGAAAGGCCAGAGATGTTATTCTTCTTTTTTAACGACTCTATAATTCTGACCTTCTGCTGCTCGTGTTGTAAACCAAGCAGTTGTGTTGGCTGAAACTCTTGGCAAACGGCCATGATGGAGTCCAGAAGATGCCAGTTTTCTTTTGGACTGGAGGCACAGTCCAAAATGTTGTGCAGTTGTTCCAGTAGATCATCATGAGGGTTGACTGTGTGCAATATTTGGCAGTGCAGACTGTCTAGAGTAACATAAGATGAATTGTAAATGCACTGGCACTTTTCTACTCGAGCACTCAAAGGTCTTTATACAGCATGTCTTATTTAAGTGTCTTCTATCTAACATACACATGTGTTCATACTCCAATGAATGCATGCGCTGCCACTTTGGGGTTAGTATCTTGTCTAAGGATATTTAGGATACATGCAGGAGCAGCCAGGGATCCAAGCACCAACCTCTGGATAGGTAGATGACCGGCTGCACCTCCTTACCTACAGCCACCCCACATATTCTACTTACTGCACCTTTAAAACTGTCTTGAAAAAAGAGGCATTTTTGTATACCTGTTTATTCACTTCTGACACATGTAAAACATTATTGTCATAGTCCATGTCCCAAACTGTTTATTTGGTTTTGAGCTGTCTCGTGAAGAGTTTCTTGGCTTTAAAATGTCTTTTGGCATGACAAAGCAAAATATGCCTTATAACTATATTTCAGAGGTGAATCTGGAATGAGGATGTTTACTGATCATTGCCGCCGACTGTAAAACCGAAAACTGGCAGCAATGCCGAGTAACAGTGAAGTGTTAGCCAAGCATCAAGTAAATAGCGGTAGAGGAAATGTGTCTTTTCTTGTCTTCGTTGCCTGTTGTTAAAAATAAGGAGACTCGCCCCAGTTTTGACCTGTCACCCAACCGTTAGCTGAGAACCTCTGTGCTAAGTTATTGACCGTGATGACTTTTCACTGCTCCTTCCTGTTCTACTCGCCGAAAAAGCTTCGGGCTGACACCGGTGTCAAAGCACCAATATGCCCGTGTCCATACATACACACCCACACGCCACCCACCGCAACACAAGCTGTGAGCACCTCCACCGCCAGTTCCTACTGTGAGAGTATTTCACAGCCTTGACGAGGGCTATAATGTGCAATATGCTCATTCATTTGCTCTCCTCGCCTTTTTTTCTGTTTGCCCTTAATCTCTCTGCTCCTCTCTCACTCTGTACGTCTGTTACTGTGGCATCTGTTGATGTCCTTTTAGCCACTGCGGGCTTCAATCTGTCCAAAAGGCCCACTCCACTGCCACTCTGTTGCCATCTCCCAGTGATCCGTTTGCGCTCTACAGTTGGCGTGGAGACTGCTTGGAGACTAAGCCCTTAATTACTACTCGAGTAAAGAGCATTAAAAATTCCAAAGGGTGCGAAAACCGTGCCCATGTCTCGGCAAACATCTGGTGAACAGTGTGGATTTAGTGGATGTCTGGTGAGAAGTGTTGAGTCGGAGGTGGAGGGGTAAATGTACATAGAGAGCACAGTTTTATTTCATACTTTGCATTTTATCTCCAGTAAATCAGCATGTGTAATGTCGGTCAGACCGAGAAGCAAAAACAGCAAGTTTTTAGAGGCGCTCCAAATGGCAGATGGTGGAGGAAATGAGAACTGAAAAATGGTGTCCAGCACGATCGTGCACTCCAGTGAAGTCAGACAGGAAACAATGGGGTCTGGGACAAGTGGCTTTTATTTTGGGATATGCTGGCAGAAACGATAATGAGTACATGACAGCATATAGCCAACTCTTCTGCTGTTAAAGTTAACGGCTGCTCAATGAAAACTTTACATTTGCATCACAATTGCAACACTGCTTGGTCAGATCATGTAAGCAGGAAGGTTAAGTGGGGAAGAGCTTAACAAAATGTGCATGTTGTGTCTCTTTAACAACCAGATGAGGATATACAGATTAAATGCATCATCTAAGATCTAAAACACTCATGGCTATCAGGTATCATTGAATTAATAATACTGTGTGTAGAGCTTTCCAGCTGAAACCTTTCAATAATAATCAAGTTGCTGTGTGCTACTGTTGGAAATCTTTTTTCATACCGATGCCTCGAGCATTTCGATGATCTCTATGCACTCATAGCTAAACAGGTAAGTTGGCTTTTAGGATAATCTCCCTAAACCTCACTCTGTTTACCTGAACAGGTTAACCAAGTGCAGCAAATTTAAACCCGGGTAGACGGTCTCCACAGATTGTGTCCAGTAGAAATTAAGGGAGCGATTGTGTTTTTCAGGACTTTGCTGATTCAATATTCCACTTGGTGAGGGAGAAGTACCGGTCGCTGGTGGGCGGCTGCAGTCCTGTGCACGCTCGGCACAAATCCCTGGCAGGCATCGTAATGACCCGAGGTATGGCAAATTTCATTGACTTTTATATATCACTTTGAATTATTGAAGTGGTGCAATATAAATTGAGACAGTAAGGTGTGTGTGTGGGGGGGGGGAGTGAGTGAGTGAAGGAGGGAGAACAAGGAAGAGATGGGGAAGGGACTGTCTGTAGGTTGAGAAAGAAATGACAAACTGAGGGTGGGAAGAGGGAGAAAGTTTCCACTCCATGCTGTACCTTGCACCCTTACATGAGAGTATACCTTCCTGATGAATTATTGACTGCTTAGAATCTCTGAGGAGAATGAGACATGGTAGTGAGTGTCAGTCATCCTCACTGCATACTGGACTTTCAGTGCTCATGGAGCTTTGACAGGAGTTCCAGATGTCACAGTGGGAATTTTAACTAGATCACCTTAATCTGAAACCTGACGGAGTGACTCAGTGAAGGAACAGTAAGTAGGAGGAGGCTTCAATCTGCTTTTCTCCTAAAGTGTGAAACAATGAGTTCCATTTCTAGACATTTACATGACTACATCTTTGTCTTACAGGAGTGCTGTTTGTTGTAGTCGATCGGGGCCTCCCACACACAGACGTGTGTTATTTCTGCTTCAGCATATTCCACACGCACTCCACATCACTTATAATAATTCTATAGAGTTGCATGGCACACATCCACGCCAGGATGATCTCGCATTAAGTTTATACGAAGTAAGCTGTCAGGTTTCTAAATCTGTTTTTTATAAGCAGGGGTGCACAAAAGTGGTCCGCAGGTGCGCATTCGCTGTCAAAATAAAAGATGCTCACCACATAAGAAGTTGCAACGCGCGTTTGCGTACATAAGATTCTCTGGAGGAGGACAGACATTTGTTTAGAACTTAAAGATGTCGAAGAAGCAAGCTCCTTTAAGCAATTACTTTGATGTTCCTCCACCTCCAAAGAAATGTCAGAAGAAGTCCGAACCGCAAAAGAAGCGCGTCTTCTCGGAAAAGTGGTTGCAGGAGGTGAGCTGGCTTCAAACAAATGATGAACGCACAGAGATGTGGTGCAGAATATGCCGTGAAAATCGGCCATTTAATAAGCAAAATAAACTGGGCCAATATGGCATATCTGTTAATACAGAGATACACATGTTAATGGGATCTCTGGTCTCCCATTCAGAAACACAGGTCTCCAAGTGTCTAGCATTCAAACGGCTACCTGAGGACTCATGTGAGAGAAAATCTGCTCACACAGATATGTAGAGCCAAATACTGTCAATAAGGCCTCTGCAATGTTCTGAAGACAGTTAAACTTGTCAGGCAGTGATGTCCAGCAGGTGAAAATGCAGCTCCATGAACACACACAGCTGTGGATTCCAGCTGCTTCGATGTTGCATTAACTGGCATTAACTCAGCCAGTTAATGCAAGACAAATCTAGCTGCTCATTAAAGATTTCTGGTTTGTTCAGAAAATAAAACATTGGTCCATACTCCTGAAAGTCCCAAAAATGCACTGTGTCTCGCGTCTACGGATGTATCCGTGTATCTCCGTGGTGCTGATGCTGTGCTGAGCGGAAAGCTCCTGAAGCTTTTGAAGTGTCGGAATGTGGAAAGCTAACAACGTCCCTCTTACAGTAGGCTAAGTTATTTTTAGCCAAATGCTGTTCTGACAGTGATGTACAATCTGGTTGGTATATGTATGATTTCTATACATTTTATGTCAGATAAAAACTTTGGTTGTAAGCTTCAGATAATTATTTAATAACAGCTAGATATTTTAAATGAGAATAAGAAAGTTTTTGTGCCCACCTTTCCCTGTTAATGCCCTACCTGCCCCCCTGGCAAAACTTTGCTAGACCCGCCCCTGCACAGTTACCAGCTGTCAGCTACTTAGAAAAGGGGGTTAACAGGGTTCCATCTCTAAATGACTGCTGGTCAGCAAACCTGGGAAACCCACAGATAATTGTAACTATGGCACGAAGACATCATGCAACACCTACGCTTTAGCGTGATGTCTTGGAAGTGGTTTCGTGCCATAGTTCCAATTATGTGTGCTGCTGTTGTTTAGTGCGACACTCTTTCTTTCTGGCGCAAAGTGGGCGATAAACAAACAAGAGAGAAAAGCCGATCAGCTGATCATTGATCAGTTTCATGATTAAAGTAGCAACAGGAGAGGGAGGGGAAAGAATGAGAAGAAGAGACAGCTGTGCAGCGTAACGACAGAATAAACCCACCTTTGTTTCTTTTTTCATTCTAGCTGAAGTCCTGGACAAACTGCGTCCCTTCTCAGCTCAACACGAAACGCGCAATATTTTCTCTGAATACGGGACGATTCCGTCTTTTTACAGGACAGTTGGCAACTCTACTAACCTTATGAAAAAAAAGTTCACTATCATTAACATCATAGCACCCACCCAGCTGTATAGAAACTCCGTCATGCTAGCTCACGCAGTACAAGTTATTGTAACTGACTGTGAAAAGTCAGCACAACGAAAATAAACTCCACCTAAACTTGGTTTATATCTGACCCAGATAGACTGCAGGTCATAACTTCTTACCTGAAGTTCAGTTCACCTGACACTTGGACCGGCGGCCACCTCGGGTCTCTCCTCCTCCTGCCTCCCCTCTCCCTCATCCACCTGCTGGCCTCCACCACTTGTTAATTTTACTGAATCTGTGGCAGCTCCGCCATAGCCACCACCAAACAACTGAGTTATTTTTACACATCAGCCAGCATCTGGCCAATCCACCACCTTTCATTGTTTATACCGTTACAAAAATAAAAATCATCGGCCCATCAAGCAAATGCCCGATGGCCAGTCCAGCTATGGCCGTGCCATCAGTTAACCCTTCGCGTGCCAACTGTGGCGCGCGTGCCCAGGATTGCCGACCTCTGACCTAACCTAACCTGTAACAGACTCTGTTTTCTGTTTTGTTTTGGGGTGTTTTTTATCATTTAAAGATAAAAAATCATAAAAAAAAAAGTAATGGATCAATTATTAACTAAAAAAAAAGAAAAAAGAATGAGCCAAATTTTGACATATTTTCTTCACATATTAGTAAATAAAACAATAACCTCCACCCCAAGAAATGAAAGGCACACGTAAATTGAGATAAATAACTTATGCAGCAATGCTATGTGAGAAGATATATAGTAAAAGTCATGGTACGAAACACAGGGCCTTCGCTCTCTCTGGGATCTACTGTAATATAAAAAATGACCACACACACACACAGACACAGACACACACAGGTGTCTTATCTGGCTCTGTGGCTGCAGGCTGTGGGGGTGCAGGGGTCAGCGAGAAGGGATTGGTATCTCAACTGTCTTTGGAGTGCAGCAGCTCATCAGTTTAGACTAAAGTGAGGCCGGCGCTCGTCCTGACCTAATCCAAACCCTCTCCTCTCCCTCCCAGTAATTGCTTCTGTTTGTTTATTAATAGCACACATTATCTTCAAAGATCCAGACATAGGGCTGCCGAGTATTCGCAGTAAGGCGGCGGCGGCAGCAGTGTGGTGGCCAGAATCCGTGCAGTCAGACACCAAACTTGACAGGAACACTGGGGAGTCCTGTTCTGCACCCCGCCCTCCTTTTCTGCCTCTCTCCATGTCTCCGTGGCTTTTGCCTCGAGAATATTAATCAGGGTCCGTCTTTTAACCATAGACAGAGAGCGAACCCTCCTCCCCCGCCCTTGCAGGAGTCCCACCAAGACATTTGAGCTTCAACCTGAGTGAGATTAGCCTCAGCACCAGGCTGAGAGTTGTGAGACGACTACCAAAGTAAAGTGCCAGAACGCATCGTCAGAAATTGTGGAAAATCTCATTTGAATCAATCTGAATCGCATCAGCTGTCTGGTGATGGTAAACAGTGCTCATAGAAAGATGCTAAAAAAGAAGCATACCCTTTTCCTCCTTTCTTCTTTCTTCAAATTTGTTTGTTGGGATGGAGTGAGAAAGCCGTCCTCCGAGGCTTACCCCAGGGACCGAGAGAAGAGACGATAACAAAGGGTTTCAAGCAAGTTAATTACAAGTGTAAGTTAAGCTATGGTTCGAAGTCTCCGCATCCATTTTCAAATAAGGATTTCTCTACTCCTAATCTGGTTTTATGGATGTTGCAAATTTTAACATTTAACAATCACGTCTGACAACAGAGCAGAGATGCACGCGGGATTTGTTGCGGCAGCGAGAATTTGAGAGCTCCAGCAGCGTTCCACAAAGACAGCCTTATATGTTGAGAGCGATTTCCTGTTAAAGCTAATAAAGATTCAACAGGGTGCGTTCTCTACTCTTGCCAAGTTGTGTGTGTGCGTGTTTTTTCCTTTTCCTCTCCCCTGCTGCTGAGCATTTTCAGAGATTTGCTGCGATTCAGACGACACGGTTTGGATGACATTCAGCGTAATCACCCAACATCTTGTGATGAAAGAACACATGAAAGATAGGATTCATGAAGCACAACCTAAATGGCATATAAATGAGTTGACTAAAAGTTGACCTTGAGAGCTTAGTCTGCTTCAGAAAAAAATGTTTTAACGTCTGCGTTATGGTGCTCAGAGATAATGGGTGGCTTATTAAGAAACATTTTCCCTGTTTTATAACCATAGAGAATAAAGGGATTCTGATAATCGCTTTCCAGTGTCTTTGAGTTGCAGCTGGCATGTATAATAATGGATCATTGCAAAGTTCACGGTCATGTCACTCCCTGTGGTTTCTTATAGTTATTGCCTGTAAAGTATCCTCAGCAATTTGTGCTCACTTTTCACTTCAAACATGTAATAGCTTTCTTTGTTGAAGTCTTATATTTCCGGGAATAATTCACAACAGCTCGCTGACAGTCGGTTTAGGTTTCAGCAGGTTTATTTAGGAACTCCAGCAGACGAGTATTCAGATCCTGTACTCCAAAAATAACACTACAGCACTTTACAAACCCTCTGTTACAGAGAAACTGAAGTTTTTCCTTTAAATGTTTTAATTGAACTAAAAGTACAGATTGATTTTTGATACTTTCTGTTGATGACAAAGTTTTCATTATATTTCATTGTCACT